ATTTTTTTGCTGCTCTTGGCGGATGTCTCATTTATTCAGCCATTCTATTGTATTTTCATGAATAAAAAAATTGAAATGTTCTCGAAAATGTACACAATCATTTGGGAAAAAAATTAATTGCATAACTCCTATAGATTTTCTTAAAAAAATTCCAGAAAATAGGCTTTTTTTTCGACCGTCTAGGTGGGTATACCCCCTTAAGGATGTTCTGGCTATACATTTCCAAACAAAAGTTACTCAAATTTAAATGTAAAATTTTAATATAAAATTGATGAAATTCTATACTTTTATAAATTAATCCTTAGTACATATAATATTCTTGCGGCTTCCACGGGTGCTTTCTATATAAAAATTATGTGTTTCGCGGGTTTTCTCCGTGTTCAGATTCATTTTTGGAGTGCCAACATTTCGTGAACTTTGCAGTCCACTTCATCAGGGCGAGAAGAAGCCTGATACAGTATCATGTCGCCTCGCCCTGATGAAATGGACTGCAAGGTTCACAAAACGTTGGCATTCCAAGAATGGATCTGGACACGCGTGGAGGAAACCCGCGAAACGCATAATCCTTAGTGCACATCTTAGTTTTTGGCACCCTTATTACACACGTTCGATTACATCATTCGTATTACACACGTTCGATTACATCATTCGTATTACACACGTTCGATTACATCATTCGTATCGTGGATTAATTTTCATCATTTTTACAAGTATATATAAATTATTAAACGATTTTTATATATATTTTGACATCTTTAGAAAGTATTTGTATAGTTATATTGTATATTCATAACAAATTGCAGATAAATTGTTATAACTAAATATAATTAACAAAATGAGAAAAATGTACTGTTTCATATAAATTTAAAACTCTGAAACAAAAATGTTTAAAGGAAAAATATAGTCCAATATTTTAAAATTAATATTCCAAACTACAAAAAAAAATTCAAGTTCAAGTGTCGGCTGTCCAAAAGTTTAGTTATTGAGTAACCTGATGTTTTTTTAATATGAATGGCTATAAATTGAAGATATATTGTATTTACGTTTTAAACAATTTGTTTTACTATTGCTATTGTATTTAAAAAACTTATAGTTTATTAGGAAAATGTTTTTTATAACATTACAGACAACATAATAAGTAATACTGACAACATTTAGCACAAACGGAGTACCAAAAATCATATTTAGTAAGGGCTAATTTGTTTTAGAGCAGGGCTCGGCAAAATTTGCATTTCTCGGCCGATTTTCAAGAAGCTTAAAGATGAAGTGCACGGGGCGCTCGCTTTGGGCGTTCACGCTGTAAACTTTATTCTATCTTTTTTTCGCTTATTATATAATTAAGGCAGAATGAAGCAATGGGTAAGCGCTCAAGATGAATACATCCAATGAATTTTCAATAGTTTTCCACGTCACCCTTGAGGTACTACCCTTGAGGTACATGAGATTTTAATACCTGCAATTTTCTTCGGAAAGAATCAACGTATTTCACTAATTGGGCAATATTTTGATTCGTCCTTTGCAGTTTTCATTCTTTTCAAAAATAAAGCTTATAAAAAGTGAGAGACGTTCTATTTTGAGTGATGATTCTTTGCCTCGTCTTATGCGGATCGCTACGTGTAATATGCAAATCGACGTTTTTGATTTCACCAATAAAAGATTCCGAAAATCAGAATAAGTATTTTTCATTTCACTTCGTTTGTGTTTAATTACTTGGTCGTACAATTCATCATTTTTGTCAGTGGACTAGACCTATTAGAGATATCACTTGAAAAAAACGCGTCAAAAATAGTACTTTAATTATATAATGAACGAAAAAAAGATAGAATAAAGTTTATAGCGTGAGCGCCCAAAGCGAGCGTCCCGTGCTCCTCGTCTTTGAACGTTAGATGTTCCTAAACGTCGAGCGGCATTTGGACTGCGCGCGAGGCGAGCTGTGAGAGGAGTAACAGAAGGCGGAACCTCTTGAAAATTGACCGAGAATTGCAAATTTTGCCGAGCCCTGTTTTAGAGTTAAATTCTTCTTTTAATAATTTGCGAAATATTGTAACTAACCGAGAATTAGTTGAAAATTAAGAAAAAAATAAACATTTTTTAATTACACAAAATGTACACTCTGACACACATTGGGTCATTTGTGACCTTGAGGTTTGGAGTTATGCCAGTTAAAGGATGTGGCCGGCAATGCATAAAACTTGTTCTTTAGATGCCAAACTTTTTTTAGGAATAAAAAAAGAGACCGATATTTGATTAGGTGTTCTTAGTATTTTAAAGAAAAGAAATGCGCAGGATGACAAATGACCCGGAAGTGTGTATTAAGAGTTAAAATATACGTCGTATCGTGTATAGAATCTAAATAATGTTAATGTGATATTTCGCATTATATAATAAATGAATATGTTATTTTTGTAATCGTCAGTAAAAACTTTTGGACTTGAATTTTCCTTGAAATCAACTGTAAGAAACGAAAAATGTGCAGCATATTAATAACATTTAATGTATATCAGACATCATATGGTACTTAAAAATTAGAAAGACGTAAACTAATCTTCGTACTATTGATATTTTTGAGTTACTATGTTTTAAGCAGTTGAAGTGAGGTTATGTAACCCATTCGGAATTTTGCTTTATCGTTAATATCTAATAATAACGGGTTAGTAAAATCGATATGAATTTTTTTTAGGAACTTTACTCAATATTTTATTTGTTTCAGAATATTGACAATGTTGCTCTTTTATAATTTTATTGCTATAAGTGAGAATATGCTGCTGCTTGATGGAAATAAATTGCTGAAATCTATATCAGATCTATTTTAGTATAATTCGTACTAAATTCATACTGATTTAAGCGATTTATTTCCACCAGGGATACTCTATAAGAATTCATGTAAAATTAAATTAGATAACTTGTGAATAAATAGAGATCTAGATAGAGAATCGACTTCAGGTTTTACCTACATATGTATTTTACCTACATATAAATTTTCGAGTTATTGTCAATGTTAGAACGTTAGCGCCAGTACATCCCTAATTGGACACGCCGTAGCATTGAGTGCTATAAAATTGTTTTTCTGAAAAAAAATCAATAATGCAGGTCTTTTTATTACCGACCTTCGGTATTCTTCGTTTAACGTTAAATTTTAATATTATATTTTATTATAAATATATTTTACGTGCTTTAATAACAATTGTCAAATTATTTATGCAATTATTATAACTCTTAAGAACTGGAATCTTAATTTGATTTGTTATATGGATTTATAACTCCTAAATAATAAATGGTAATTATTTAGAATACGGGTCCTTCCTTAGAATCTTAATAAAAATGTACTTATTCGACGTATTTTCATTCAAAACGAAAGAATCTGGTAAAAAACGCGGCCTCGTGAATCGAGTTATTAAACGTTAAAGTTCGAGGCTTTAAAGATTAAAATATCTGTCATCCCGATTCGATAGTGTTATGTATACGTTTTATTTTAATTATACAAATTCTTTGCTTTACAAACACAAATTCGCTACTTTAAAAACAAAAATTTACTGTTTTAAGTATACAATTTCTTTGGATTAGCAGTGAATTTATATTTGTAAAATAGAGAATGTATGTAATTAATGCAG